CCTGCTAGTCAGCTGAAATTTTGCTTCTGAACCCTCCATTGCGACAAACCTAAATTTCATTAATAAGGCACACATATTAGTCGTTGGATTAATAAGACAAACAAATTTGCCGTACTGCATTAATAAGACAAACATGTTAGTTATACAACCCCAAGGAAAATCAAGAAAATGAATAATGACACACGTGAGCCCATTCTCACATTTCATTTCAGCCCATCTCAGAGAAAATTTAGTTTTTAACTTCTTCTAAAAAAAGGCTCCAATATTTATGCGGGTGATTATATATCTAGATGTATGCACGCGTACTTGATGTGTAAAGTAACTAGTTTTCTTTTAGCCATATTTTCAAAGATTTCACAATATTTATTTGCCTGCTTTTTACGCAATAATATGCAGAAATAATGTACATTTCTTGATCGCTCATGCCCTTAGCTGAAGCTCACAATTCATGGAATCATTGCTGAAAATATTTTCTTTCTGCAAATTCTAGGAAAGATTTTCAGTATCGCAGGATTAGTTTTGACATCTCGCAACATATTGCTAGTGCTTCCACTGCCAAGAAATGTGCCATAAACGTCGAAGAGAATTAAAGCGTAAGTGAGACTATGCACACTCGACCAGACTTGCTCCTCTATTTATTGTCAGTCATAATTGTGTCATAATAATTATTGTGAATGTCAGTTTGTTTCAAATAAAAACTTTATATTTTTATCGGTAGTTACTTGATAGTGTCACCTATTCTAATTCACGTCTGCTTTATATAACTACTTATAATTTCAGATCATTTACAAACTCCCAAATAAATATTTTTCGGCATATAAATGTATTTATCTACACTAGATTATTTCTTGCATTCATCCTCATACGCAAAACTTATTTCAACTGGATTCTATTCGAATTCGCGTGCATTTAATGCCAATTTAAGATTGAGACTTTTCCTTTTCTGAACCTTGGATGTAGCTTTCGGCTAATACTTTCATCTCGTGCCTCTTTAACGGTCTTTTTCGCTCGTTACATTCTGAAGTGATTTTGAAATCCCAGGTGCATTGTTCCCGAGCTCCCACGCACAGAGATCTGGCAGATGGTCTCACCTGTGAGGTGTAGTTGTTACGAAAACAAGATTGTTTTCTCTTCCCTTACATTTTTCGTAACGTGCTGAAGATCTTCAATAATGATTAATCTGTCCGTTTTGCTACTGCCTCATCACTTCTCCGTTCTTCGTCTCTTCAAGATGGTAACACCGTTTGTCTTCTTTTTACATGATTCTACCATTGGAAACTTTCGTCACGCATGTCTGGTACTCTCCAATTGTTTGCATCACTGTTATTCCGATGACTTTCTCGTTTTAGGAATTCTTTGGTTTCGGTGTGAAAAGGCCTTATAGTATGCCTGTTGAGAAAATGAATGTATACATTTTTATTTGTCTCGCAGGGCAAGGACCTCGAACAGAACGTGAGTGCGGGAGTGATGGTGGTCGGAAAGTCGTTGGTCCTACAAAAAGTCACGAGACGGCACGCCGGAGTCTACTCCTGCTCAGCCACCAACTCCCAGGGCTTCAACTCATCCAAGCCGGTCATGCTTAACGTCAAATGTAAGTCGCAAGAACAGATTTAGAGTGAAAAAACTGGCTTGGGATTGAATTCAACTGACGTGAGTTCTTATTTCCTCGGATAGCTAAAATAAACAAAAATGAGGAATTAGAATTATTCTCCTCATATATAAAACTGAGATGGATATCGCATGTTTCAATTGTTCTGACTAAGACACAAGTGTCCCCTCGAGAAACCGGATATCGCATCCCACTTGATACTTGTGTGGGAAATGGTTGATAAGCTTGATGGTGTGCGCAGGAATTATTGCTATAAAGCAAGGCTTAAAAAAACAGGAGGACGGGAGTTTCTTCCTTTATTTGAATTTTCGACAGCGATTAAAATTATATTAGTTAATTATATTGTTGCTTAATTTTAATTTATTACACTTGCTTGATGCATGATCGATAGGAGAGTATGAAAAACGTTTTCCGTGTTGTATTTTACATAAAGATATGAAATAAGTTTTAAATTTACTCAATATAATGATTATGAATTATGTATAGCGACTATTTTTCTGCTAATGATTTAGCAGAAAAAAGATTTCTACAAAATTAACATTACTTTCATGAAAAAATTATTTGAATAAAATATGATGAATTTCTTCGCATTTATATTTTATTTTATTTTTTTTTACTTTTAGATTCTTCGTCCATTTTCGATAGAAGCTAAGAAACGGTCTTAAAATTTCATCACCATACGAAGTGGAGATAAAGAATGTACATCGATTAATTAACTATATTATCTTTTAAAATTTCGGTAATTCCAAATGAGAGGAAGATGCGTTGGTAATTCCAAACGTGAGCTTTAATTTTCCTATAAATATTAACTCGATGTGAGCGAAACTTATTCGTTTATATGGAAGATGCCCAGTAGGTATCTGCCACGAAACTTCGAAATATTTATTAATATAATTTTAATCTATTAATTTATTTGCGCCTTTTGAATGGCGCTTAATAGAAAGGTCACATTTTAAAATGAATACCTCATTAGCTCACTTCCTGAGAGATAAATAGATTTGAGTTCCACGTGCATTATTTTCAGGCATGTAGCCTCCGTAAATGTCATAATTTCTCACATTCTTGGAAATTCAGCGTTTCATGTAAAGGATAAAAACCTACTCAGTTTTTTTTAATTTGATTGAAAATAGAATCAGGTCTTCTAGATCTTGCATAAACGATATGTATTAATTAATTTGTTTTACAATCATCTTTAGATCTGTTCCTGCTTATAAAGTAAAAATCGCTAGCTATTCATTTATTTTTTGCAGATTTTCCAGTCAATATCGTGTCTAGTCATATTTGTTCAGAAAAATACAGTCACGTCGTAAAATAGACATAATTAAGATTTAATTCAGAAGCTTGAGAATTGTATTTTTTTACATTTACAAAATAACTCGTTTCAAATGTATTAGGGAGTCATATTGAATTAGTTAAAACTGAATAATTTCTTTTGTAATGGAGGTATAATATTCTTCAAAGTCATACACAACAGGTTTTACAATTTGAAATGTGTCTTCATGGGAATGATGTGAAAATGGTTGCGGACGTAACTGTTTCTTTTCTGCAAGATTAGTCTTGCTGGTCATAATATTTATGAATAGACAGGCTTATCTCACACGATATTTGCCATACCTGTAGCTTATTTCCTGTCCACGATAGACCGGTGTGTAGCGCAACAAACTACTGACATCTACATAAGCTCCGCGAGTGTAAGTTTGGCAGAATCCAATTACCCTTCGCAATGTCCTAACCGAGGTATGTTGTACTTAGGCAGACGTTGGCAAAAAGCTCTACCATGCGGCCAACAACCTTGAGTGGCCGTATCAAGGCTTCAGAATAAAATTTTTTAGTTTTAATGGTAAGCTATATTATTCTTGCCAGAATTAATAATAAAAGTTTTCTCCATTTCAGAATACTTTTTAAAAGTTAGTATTTGGCACAAAAAAAAATCACAAAAAAGAAATTGGTGTTTTTGAAGGGTTAATAAATGTGCTCGAAAACATTATCTACTTACTCAGGTGATCTCAGTTGTGATAATTCATCAATGATCACAAAATTGTTTATTTCTCTATTATCCTCTGTTCTTTAATACTTGGTGTCAAGTTCTCTCTGGTAATGTTCTAAAAATTATATTCCTTTGTTTACATTTTTTGTGCTTGTTGACGTGTTTGTTTCCAAATCTAAATAAATAGAGATATTTATGTTAGATCAAATATCACAGTCAATTTCATGTTGGGAAAAATCTGAATGTGAAACTTTATTTTTATTGGGTCAAACATGAAGCCCTTGACAACGGTATGGGTGATTGAGGAAAAGAACCACTTTAGGGGTTGATATGCTGAGCCTATTATACCACGATATCACATGTTACGTATATTAACGGGACTCTGAAATCACATCTGTCACACGCAACTCAGGGGACAGCCGTCAAATTCTTAAGATATTTTTCTCTATGTTTCCACCTATCATTGTTCACCTGTTCTGACCTCAATTTTACTCTGTTCCTTATGTCCCGCGTCTGCCGTTGCAGACTCGCCGGTGTGCCGCGTCGAGCAGTCGGACGTCTACGGTGTCGGGAGGCTCGAGAAAACAACCGTCACGTGTCGAGTGGAAGCCGATCCTCCTGCGACAGCGTATCGTTGGGCTTTCAACAACACCGGGGAATTCGTTGATATCCCAGAGTAAGTCAATTTTTAGTATATAGAAAAATGTCTTGTGTCTGTGTGAAAAGCAACGGAACCAGCTATGAGTGGAATAAAATATTTTCATATGATTTCCTATTAAATTAAAATAGGAGAATATGAATCGTAATGATGTACACTCATATACGAGGTGACGTACACTCGTATTGAGGAGCATCATGTTAATGTTGAGAACACATCATAAAAAGTTACGGGAACTAACTGATTAACTTTCAAGTTGCATGCGTAACCTGTAAATGAGTCACCATTTATTATCAAAATTTATTGCTACTCTCATTAGGCTTCATCAAGTTATCAAAGCGTAAAATATTAGATACGATATCTATTAGCCTGAAATAAATTCTTGGTAAAAATCAGTGTCAATGTTGACACAATTGGATGATGACTTGGGTGATACTCGAGCCCTGAAAAATGAATACCAAAGCAAGGTTGTAGTGCCACTCTGGCACAGCTCAGAACTCCAGCCAGACGCCGGACTGCTCATTACAGGAAGCCGATATCAGGCAGAGAGAAGCTGCGACACAAAATGTAATTAGGGTCCACAGGAAGGCTCCTTGAGCGAGACATCTATTGCAGCGTTCCGTCTCGGTGTGGACCGAGTCAACATCTTCACAGAAATGTTGGGGCGCTAGGAAATTACTTGAAAGAACGACTGTTGGTCGCGTCTGGTTCTCGAGAGCTGAGTCGATTTGAATGAGGAAGCACTCAATTTGGAATTTTAAAAAAATCAGTTCGTAATAATATTGCCCCGCTGAAGTCGGGGAGATTCTAAATGCTAAAATGCTGGCTGCTTGATGTTATATAATCTGAATTTGTGTTCAGATTTCTTAGCTGAAGTACAACAAATATTTATTTAAATTGGAACAAAAGAATGAAAAAAAACCTATTTGGAATTGAATGTTCACTCGACAAATTAGTAAAACATTGATAAAATATATCAAATTGTTGCAGCGTGATGCTCGTGCCGTGCCGTTGCCGTGTATCATTGGATGCTCTAAATTTTAATCTACAAGAGAGTGGAAAATTGATTTTTTATAACTATTAAAAAGTTGCTCAGTTCGGCGTATCGTTTGAATGACCATGGTTTCCATTTCGTAGTCAAGATATCTTTTTGGTATCTCGACTGCTCACTATGTTGAGAATAATTATTGTGTCAAAGTGTACCAAATTATGGCTAAGATTGATAGAATAATGTATTTTGCGGTATTTAAAAAGTATTTGAATGTGCGTTCTAACTTCAAAATTCCTTTCAAAACAAAGGCTCGAATTCCCTACTTTTTCTTTTTTGAATTACTATTGTTTGAATTATTATTACGCTAAACAAATGCAACAGAGCGAAAAAACTGGTAGGAATAATTTAATTTGTAATTACCGACGTCGATAAATTGGAGTAATAATGACATGGTTGTGTAGATTCTGTAGTAAATTGTTTTTATCACTAAAAACTAAAAATGTTTTTAAATAAGATGAATTGAGTAGAATGCGTTAATGGAAGTCAACAAAATTTTAACATCAGCGGTGAATTCTGTCGGTTCTTGATTATGAAGTTATCAAAGCGAGTTAAAATCTTCGTTATTGCTTCACGTGACTGCAATGTATAGAATGCCTTTTCTGGCTTAGAATTCATGAATTTAAATTAACTCCGCAGTCAGAAAATTACTTGCTTGATAAATAAATTACTCGCTGGGCTCATTCAGGAATCAACTAATTACGTCGGTACGAGCGTCATCGCGCGTTTTTTTGCAAATGCGAAAGAAATTTAAAATTTGATTTCATATTAACGAGGTGCATGATTGTAGCCGTAGTCTAACTTGTCGTACGATGCGCGGAGTTATAAAATGTGCACGACAATTAATTATTTTGTAAGCTATTTAATTCATAACCGACATTTTGTTCAAAGTATTCAAAGTAAAGCATATACAGGACTCGACCTGATAAATGTTTTAACTTTCAATGTAGTACGATCGTTCCACGTGAATAAACAATGCACAATAATGGATGCCGAGGGAATTTAAACGAAGGGAAAATTGCAATGTAAGAGTTTCGACGCACATAAGATCCTCTTTAATTTAAAATTCTATGGCAAAAATTTGAGTGTTCTTTTCAATTCGAGTGCTTTTGCAAATGTGAGTGATCTTCTTATTATATTCTGAAAATTTTACTGTTCATCTTCTTATCTTGTTATTCAAAATTTGAAATTTTTGTGCAAACTCGAGTGTTTTTTTAGCACTAACTCTGTAGTTATTAATAAGATCAACTCATGATGAAATGTTAGAGAAGAGGATACTGGAGCTGCCCTCATTTTGTTTTGCAACTTTCCATAATGTTGCTATGGAAATTTAATTTTGCATATTTTCTTGAATAGTGGAATTTAAAGATGAAACTGCTTTAACTTAATAAAATCACTGTCTTATAATCTGTAGCAATAATTTGGAATTTTTTTGTAAGCATGTAGGTATCTGCGCTTAAACCGCTATTGAATTTTGAAATGATGTCAGTTACCTGATCGTTATATTGTAAGCAGAGCCAAGTAAACGTAGGAAGAAACGAGGTGTCAGTTAAGCGTGTGTGCCATACTTCTCTACATCGAGCGGTAGGAGGCAAACTCTTCTTATCAGCTGCATCAGCCGACGAGAAACTGGCACGCAACCTTCTGACGTTAACTCAAGCCAAGAGATCTAACTTGTTATTTTGAAGAATATATTCACCTAGAAACCCCAGCTTAGAGCTTTAATTCCCTAGATTATTATACTTTGTTTCATATCTTACGCTGATTATGGAAATTTAATTACACGTTCTGTTGACAACTTTTGCTACTGATTTTGCGATTTTAGTGCTTCTGAATATCGGATATTAATGACTTTTTCAAATTGGAAAGGCATTGGTTATTGCGAGTTGATGGTATTTCCAATTTTATTTTCCGGTAAATTAACTATCACTACATGTTCAAAACATATCTATTTTCTTCCTTACAACACGTGTAAGAGGTAAGTATTCTGCAACTATCATCCAATTTTGTTTTTAGCTTCTCACTACACCTAATTATTTCCAAAAATACACTTTCTTGGAGTAAGAATCTTATTCGTAAGTGTTAGAACCTCAACATGTGTGCTTAATTAGACAAATCTTCGAGGAAGAGACGGCTTTGAAATCAGGATGACAAAATATAGTAAAGTCTACGGTGTTAGGTCCTCAAATTTAAGTGTCTTCCTGTGTCATTTTAATTCTTGCGTGTTACTTGATTTGCAGCATATAACGTTTTCCAATTACAGATGTACAGGCGCTTAATAGGTGTACGGTGAATCTAAAAATTACAGGCGTACTGGCTGACAATAAGCCCACAATTTCATTTACATCGACTTAGTTGAGCAGAGAATGCATAGATAGATTGGACTCCCTGAGTGCATCGACAGAAATAAACTTCAAAGAATCGAATCATCTGCAGCCATATCATCATCATCATTACTTATGGAAACAAGACACTGCAAAATTTTGACTTACGAGCCTTATTATTTCTGTGAATTCTATTGATATTTGTATTATTGCGCTCTTATGGACATTAATTTATTTTGCAATACTTTGGAATCGAATTACGTAATGCACATTATCACTCTACATGAAGTTACAAATAAAGTGTTACAAAGCTAATGGGGTATTGAAGAGTTTTTAAAATGAAACAAAAAATAAATTACTGAAATGACTTAATTTTTCCTTGCTCTGTAATTCTGTGTTTGTCATACTTATTTTGTTTTTATTTATATAATTATTCAGAAGAACACTTAGTTTCAGGTATTGACGATCCTAAATAAAATTTCAGGTATCCTCGTATATAAAAAATGGGAATAGTTTTAATTTAATAAAAACATGTTTCTGGCTGCATTAAAACTAATAAATTAATACTTTGTTGATTATTGCTCATAACGCATAACGTATGTGGTTTAGCTCTGAAAGTTTGTGTTATTATTCTGAAACGCTGAATTGTTTTCAGGTTACAACGTTTTGCGCGAGAACTTATTTATTTGTCTCACTAATGAATTTGAAAGAACGTATTTGTTGACCGAACGATTCGGAACATGGAAAAAAATAAACAAAAATTATTTTACAGCTGCATTAGTAAATATTTGAATAATTTATCACAATTGAGCATGAAATCAAAATTCTTGTAAGCTCCTAAGTAATTAAAATAATTTTTGAATATACAATAAATAAGCCCATGTCTCTTCAAGATGCAATCAGATACACATTTTAAATCTCAGAACTTTTCAATTTAGCTCGTACTGAATATTTTATTCGTGCCATTTGCTTGGAACAGTCGAGCGCGTAAGTCAGGCTGGTCTGTGAAGCTCGTAGAGTGTGCGGATGTTGTGTTGAATATTTTCTGCTTATATTACCACTAAATTGGAAGCCTTCATATTCCCTAAGGAAGTTCTGCTCACGCCCCTCATGTTTATTGGCCTGAGCTTGTGGCGCTTCTGTATTTGTTGGCTCGCTAGGTTGCAGCACGCGACGGCTGGTGCTACTGTGAAATGACATAAATGTTAATAATATTGCTGGATAAATAAATACACTCCTCCAACGATACAAAATAAAAATTCGCTTATCTACATTTGGACTCAATGCTAATCGCTCATGATAAGTATGATTGGACAATAACGGAAGTCATTGCACAATAGAAACCAAATTCAATAATGCTTGAAAAAATCCACAATCCGAATCTAAGAAGATTTGGCATTCGGTAAGGTCTGATTGAGTTTCATGCGCTCAATAAGTGACTTTATTTGAGAAGGCGTAGGTCACTGTTTGATAGTTTACCATACTTATCTAGGAGAGGTGCTTTCGGCTTAACGTAATTTGATGTCCAAATCGCACAAAGTTCTGACATTGTCTCAGGTATCACCGGGCGACCGAGGTTGACTCAAATCTCTGACAGTTTTCCACTCATGCTCAACGAGGTTAAATGATGATAGCAAACCTGCGAGTGAATTAAGATGAAAAAATATAGCCTCTACTCAAGCTAACTAACGATATGGCCAACTTTGTTATATTGTACCAGATGAAGAAAGAAGGTCAAGCTCGCAATGATACTGGCGATAGCTGGCGTGATGACTAAAGCCAAAAATTCACCAACAAAAATATTCATAACACTAATATTGTTTTGAATTTTAATTTTTATTTCTTATGTGCAAAGCAAGCAAAATAAGTCAGGCTAACGCGAAAATACGACAACGGGCTATTCAGTTAAACCAAAAGTTGTCAGTTATATGTATAAAATTAAACTAACTCCTAATTTTACCTATTGACTCTTCAGATTCGAAAATTTTTTTCTAGAAAATATTTTTTATTAAAGTGAACAAGTTCGATATATTACTTAGGAGCGGTACGAAATAAGGCATATTAAACAGTATCTGACATGGAAACTGCAAGCCTTAAATAATTTCGCATTTTTGTAGTTGTACACGTAAAAGGAATGACGCAGTGGCTCGTTAACATTCAATAAATCGCGCAATACCAGACGTATACAAATATGCTAACAGCTTCCCGATGTTGAATAGACCTCATAACGTTGGAAGGTAATCTTACTAGAATTTTGGAAGATAATCACTTGGCCGATGCCTTCCCACTTTGACGGCCATCAAGAATAAATGACATCATTAAAGACTGATTAAAAGTATCAATTAAAAGCTTATAAAGCGGTGTATCTTATCAACCTTGTTTTGGTATCTACCGTTGGCTTCCTTAATCGTCGTGAACGAGAAGGGAAATTAGGTAAAATTGGGCATCGAGCAGCCTCGAAATTCGAAACGTGAATTATTCACTTACTTGATTATACGTTCAATTTGTATTGAAGTATTGCATTATATGAAGGATTGTGATGGTATGACTGCATAAATGAGACAGCGAAGGCTTGGGGAACATAGGGGCTCATAAGCGCGCGAGACAATAACATTTCAACTCACGTCTCTCATTTCACCCTCCACAGCGCCCCACGTCTAGCGATCCTTGCACTTTTTACAGATCACGATGAGTTACCGTGCATTTTTGCGGTTGCTTTATAACTACTTTTTTTACTTCATGTAAAAAGAGCCAAGTACAACCAAGCTCCCATCTTAAGTCTAGTTGAGGATAAAAATTCGCGGTGTTTAGGATATTTTATCTCCTACGGTTCAAACGAGTGGAATCTAGTTGGATTAGCATCCTTTGAATTTTTTCTCGAAATTAAGATGCGATTCTTGATACGTTTATTCCGTTCATTTTTTGGCAATAATTAATAATATTGCTTTTTTAAACTTTCAGGTCGCATTTCATCATCAAATCTGACGGAGAGTGAGTATTTTATTAAATATATTTTTAACGAGTGTAATACGTATTTTTAAATATATATTTAATTTCGATGAGCGCGATTTTCAGCAGTGGCGAGTGTAACTGCTTCTCAAAAGTCATTATATTAGTTGACCTTATATAGAAGCTACATTTGAATGATATTATTATATTATTATTGAAATCAAACTTTATCTTTAGTGGAGTAGCTGCTCCTAAAAAATTGTTCATTTTCGTATTTTTTACGCTTCACCTCTTTTTTAACGGTAAATTATGGTCACAAAATAATTGCAATTAAGGACTTTCATTCGAGATTTTGCGCCGCTTTGTCGCTTGTTGCGGAGTCTGATATGAGGGCTTCATCAAATACGGTTAGCAACGCCCTTAGTTCGTTATTCCGGTGCAAAAAAATTATCCACTTTGGCTCTTATAATACAGTGACCCAGATCATTAAAATGCTTTACTCGTAAAGAACCAGGCATGCGATAGCTAAATGTGGCGACGCGTTTCACCCGTTGTATTAATTATATCGCGAACTTCAAGACCGAAATTAATACTCTGTTCAATCAAATGCAGCATAAATGGTCATGATTAAACTCATTCAGTTATACATGAAATTGAACACTCTTTTACATAAATTTTAAATTATTCAGACTGAAGCTCGAGGATCAGCAAATTGCTCTACTTTTACTTGCTATTCAATTCCTAGTAATTTGCTGCAAACTCACAAAATCTAATTCTTAATGATTAATAAGGAGGTAATCCATAACGTAGCAAAGATTATTGCTAAAATTTAGATTCAATTTCATATAATCATGTAATGCTTCTATCAATACTGTAACAATTTTTTTGAGTCAGGCATCAACCAGATGCCGTTCACTTTTACTACTCACATTTCTCATTGATGTTATGAAATATTCATAAGACTCTACTCTGTGCTACAAGCATGAAATTCACTATCGCACACTCAATCTCCTCTCGTCTGGTTGAATTTAACATGAGAACGTCACAAGCTTAGAAAAATTCACTGTGCTCTAAGACATCTTCACTATACGAGTTTTGCTGTCACTCCCAAAACTTGAAGATAAATTCTATCTCGGGGATATTACGCGGTATCGTTATCGATAGTTTACTTGGGGTTGCGTTCCTGGGCTCTGATACTAGCTTTCAATGGAGTAAATAACGTTACCCTATCTCAACCTTTTTTATTTGTTGACCGAGCTTGCAACATTTACATGCATTAATTAGCAAAAATCATCAGTTTTAGGAACAAGTTTTATAACGATTCATCTAAGGTCTCAAATTCATAATTTTCAACAGGCCTGACATGATTTTCTCTACTTATTTTCCTAATAAGGTTGGGACAGCGATCCGACTTGCGGTATTCACCCGTGAGCGACTTGGACTACGGAACGCTGCTGTGCTGGGCCAGGAACAGCATAGCAGGAGTGAAAGTCTTTTAATACAGAACAGTTTACTCGCTAATTAGATTATACAATAGGCACTTGAGGTTACAGCATTGATGTGAGGGGTCAATACGACCTGCTCGATAGAGAAGCTTATATCGAGGGTCGGAGCGTAGGACTAAGGTGTGGACGCTTGGAGGTCTCTACTACAACTGACTCGTCGGTAGCTTGAAGAGCTATATGGGTCAACCCGCGTAGTGTAGCAAGCTACGTATGACAAGACGTACGACAATTGGGCGTCACGTCACCGAGGGTGACATATATTTTGTGACGGTGCATGGCATGAACACCTGACACATGCATTAATTTGAAAAATAAAATCATCAGTTTTAAGAGTAAGTTTTACGATTCTTCTTAGGCCTCAAATTCATAATTTTTAAGAGGCCTGACATGATTTCCTCTAATTATTTTTCCTAATAAGGTTGGGACAGCGATCGGACTTGCGGTATTCACCCGTGAGCGACTTGGACTACGGAACGCTGCTGTGCTGGGCCAGGAACAGCGTCGGCAACCAGCGAGTTCCTTGCACCTTCACCGTCTTCCCTGCCGGCAAGCCGGACACTGTCGCCTCCTGCAAGTGAGAAAGTCGCATTGATTTATTTCATTGAAATTGTGCGATCTTCGTCACAACTGGGGAAGGTATGTTAGCTTTTCTGATGGCCTCGGATTCAAGGCTTGGGGTAGAAATAACTTATTAATTGCCAACCAATATCGAGGAAACTGGTTTTTATCGTTCAGATTTCTTGTGAGTGTCAAACATTGAGAGTGAATGCCAAAATTAGTGCCAATGATCGGGCTTCTTTAGCAGATAACGGAAATTATAAATGACTTGTTAAAGTGAGCGAGATTTTCAGGTTAATTCTTGCCTTTGTGATTACTTGTTAGCATGGGCGATGGATTATGCATGCTATTGGATGAACAGCGCTATGGAGCCCGTCCCACAGAGATAGTGAGCCAGTGAGCTCAACTATTGGGAAACCAAATAATTTCATTTTCAGTTTGAAGAAAACAATAACAGAAAATATTTTACGGAATGTGACTTTGCATTCGATAAAATAATTAACAGTTCAATCTCATAATTGCATGTATGATTTTAATTGCTAATTCAGAAAACCTTCGTCATAGGAAAGAAAATGTAGACTTCTTTTTTAGTGCAAACTAGAAATACAATTGAATCACTCAAGAACGCTGACGAACAGTAAACGAAATTATATATAATTATTTGAAATGCGAAACAAAGTTTCCAACCAAAAAACGTTTCCAACAGAATACATTTAAAACGCAAGAATAAGTATGTGAATCTAGAATGCCATGTTCTCCATTACTCGGCCATAATTTAATCATATTCTCTTCATTATTCAATAGGTAGTTAGGCCAGGAGGCCTTTTTGGCGAAGCATATTACAATTTCGACTGAAAGGGAGAAATTCTGTGAATGTGAAGCCCGAAATAAAACGAGAGCTGCGCTTTTCTTATGAATGAGGCCGAAGATTTGGGAAATTGAGGCAGTAACTATATATGTCCAAAAATTATATTAAATCATAAAATCTCATAATCGACATTTTAATTCTGAGATAAAAGAATATATCATATTATATTATTTATCGCTGGCGTTGCGCGGGAGAGATTATACCTGCAATTTGAGTATACTGTTATTTCGTATCCATCATCCCAAATTCCGCCATTTCAACTCTCATAGATAATTTTGATACTTAAGTCCAGTAATTAAGGAAAGACCTCTTCAAATCCACAGCACGAAACTCTCAATCAAATCCCATTTAGAAATTTATCGGAGACTCCCACATTTTATTTTATTAATTAAAATAATTCACACTGAACTTAATAAGATTTTTTAATTCTTCTAATCCTTTCTGCATCGTACGAGTACGTTATCCAAAATTGAATTTAATGCCCAGGTAATATACTGAACACTCGCAATGATCAGCCTGTATTTATTTCCAGCGACAGGCACTCCAGATACAAATTAAAGAATTTTTGCATATTATATGACATCAAAAAATCTCAAAGCTAAACGATTGCATTCCATTCATCTTTATCCAATATTTTCTGCACTTTAAATCAAATAATGATCATGTAATAAAAACCCACAAATTAATAGAATGATAAAGTTATAAATTTCCCTTGAGAGCATATTAAATTATATAGAATCATGTTATCAGTATCCTCATTCAATCCAAGCTACCGTTCCGATCCAACTATTGCTTCCGTCGGTCTTTAATGCAGCTAACCATCTATATTTTTCCATCTTCATGGGCACTCAATCCTGAAATTTATCTCATTCCAAGGCCCAACATCCCCCACCTCAGTTTTAGGTAAACAAGTTTTGCTAAATTCTAAAACGAGTCACTCACAAGACGCATTTTAAAGAAGGCTGATGTAACAGACAAGTAATTTCCTGACAGATAACTTGGCAATTGTTACTTGATCGTTGCCCTACATCACGGAGTAGACCCTCTCCGATCGTGCGCTGTTTACTGCAGAATGAGAATCCTAAGCACAGTTAGCCTGACGGCGATAAATTCGTACTTTCCTTGGCATCATTCTGCAATTTTTCCCGCGGTACCTTCGACAGATCGCGAGAGTCATGTCTTTATAACGGTGGCCATTTAGAGTCGCTCATTGGAGAGAGGAAATTAGACCAATGTTAATTTCCACTGCATCAGGTTTTTTCCTTTTAATCTGTCTAGTAATTTACTTCAACCCCTCACCTCGTCCGCAATTCAATTTAATATTGCGAGGAGTAATTTATTTATTCCACATCATACATTGAAGACGTCTAAAAGGAAGCAAAAAATTAACTGACAATCTTTAAGTATTCCGTAATGCTTCTTTTTTTAAAACCTTGGGATTTCAACGCTAATTTTAGATATAAGATTTAATATTCTTTTCTTTTGAGCATTTACATTCATGTTGGCTACAGAAATTAAGATTTTTCCGGACGATCTTCTTCATTTGACATTTACCGTTATAATGTTTCTCGCATTAATATTATCATGATTTTTAAGCCAAATTCATCGCGATATCATTCACCTGTGAATTTATTTTACTTTAGCTTTTCTTTTCAGGTTAAGATAATGTTTTCCAACATGGTAACTTTTAATCATTTCATCTCAATCCATCAGAAAAATTTTCCTAATGCTTGTCTTACTCACATCGTGGTTGTCGTGCGTGGGGGATTCAAGCCTTGATTTTTGGTTTAATTAAAATAAGTTGGAAAAATAAATAAATAAAAAATAAATAAAATAAAATTTTGTTTAAATAAAATAAGTCGGAAAAACAAAAAAATAAGTCGGAAAAATAATTTTTAACTAGTATTTTCAGTGCGAATTATACTCCATTTTGCTACGGGTTATTTAGGTAGCGATCAACCACATGCACAGAAGACGGAGAGCATCCCGATTTTGAGTGATCTAAGCTTTATACCGTACCTTGAATCTGTCATCATCGTAATGGACCAGGCCTTATATCGCCTGCAAGAGACTATTTCCATTCGTTTCCCCATATCTTTTATGCCTAATTAGAAAATAAAATGTGCTGGCGGATGATTCATAAGTGAAAATTTTACATATATGTTTTATTTGGTTATTTACCTCGTGTAAAACTAAACTAATTGAAGGTTTTGATTGTCCTACAGGACAAGGAACCAGACAGAAGAGATGATTCGGAAGTAAAAAATTTACATTTACGTATTAACTAAGTTATTTAACTCATGTGAAACTAAACTAATTTAAATTTTTTATTGACCTACAGAGCAACGAACCAGACAGAAGAGAGCGTTGTGGTAGTGTGCGAGCCTGGCTACTCGGGCGGTGTGAACCAAAGCTTCCTTCTCGAGGCCTGGGACGACGGTTCACTCCGAGCCACGGATCGCAGTGACACTCCTACGCTTGAGGCGAGCACTTAATTAAATTAAATAAATTATCTTAAAAACATTTGTTGAGCTGGCGTACAATCTCTATTGATATGCTTTGTTACTGATATATCAATGAAGCCAATTATCGAGAACTTGGAATTATATAAAAATCTCGGACCTCTTATCATGGTATAATTTTTTTCTTTAGCAAAAAAAATTATTTTTATCAATAAAACCGATGAAATAATGATTTTGGGTATTTTTTTATAAATGAATTAGGCGATGTGTTACGACGGTGATTTAATGTGCATTTCCTTTCGTGGATTTTCATGAATGTAAGGCTTTATGGTTATCAACTTAGTGCATGTTTTATGATTAAGATTATCAACTTACAGCCAAAAACTATGACGTAAAAATATGACGTATAGCAATTTTAATCGTGATTCAAAAACCTAAAAAATAGCAAAAAAATTTATTAAAGCTTCAATGAATACGTTTCGGAGACCGGCGCCATCATCAGTTCAAAAAACTGAAAATGGTTTTTTTGAGCTGATGATGGGGCTGTTTTCCGGAACGTTTTCAATGAAGATAAAAATGATTCACTTGGCGTTTTCTTCGGTTTTAAAGGCTTGATGAACCTTCCATTTAAACAGACAAATGATGTAAGCAATCATATGTTAATGTTACCATACGATTGCACACTTCAAACTTCGTAATTTTTTGACAAATGTTTAACAACGTAAATATAACACAGGGGTTTCAATAATGACAAATTCTATTTACATTCTAGTTAGAAAAGCGCATTCTAGTTAGATGTCGGTTTTGTGTGGAATTTAATACGGAATAATTTAGTTTGGTGCGACCATTTAACTTATTTCACCGGTGATTCAAACAGAAATTTGTAATTTAATTTATTTGTTGCAATACCAGTAGTCATGTCGTAGTAAGCATCTGATACCTAGGCGGCTGGTATATTGGTTCAGCTGAAAATATACTCTGCAGCAAATACGTGGCCCCCATATGTACTCGTGGATATTATATATATAAATACTATATACGTCACTCCAATATACAATATATAATCTGCAGATATGCGTGGCCCCAATATCGAATATTTTCTCGAGCACAATTGGGGCCTCTGTCTTCGAAAGCGCCACACCGAAATTCAATCACAAAATTTGATCTACGAGAAACTTATTTCAGATTTGACGTACTTCTTCTGCTGCCAATCAAACGGCACAATACAGGTAATTTATACTCCGATCGCTTCTCATGCCGACCAAATTATTATTTTCGCTGACTCAGGCTTCAGGACTGAGGCCAGGGACGCGGTACAACCTTCGTGTCTACGCTGAGAACTCAATGGGAAGGTCCCAGCCATTCTCCTTCAAGGCGTTCACGCTCACTGATGTGGCAGAGCGAAGAACTGGTGAGTCGTCGCCCGAATTGAATTAAATTCAGGCAGGATTAACATTGGAATTGCGTACCCAGTGGCACGCGTAATCTGAGTCGTTTGTAACCCAACATCTACCCAGAGGCTCCCTCAATTCTTTCAGAACGACCACTTAATTAGCAACCAAAGAGCTCAAAGAGTTTATTATATACAATTTTGCAAATGAAATAAATTCTTCAAATGTAGTGAGCAATTGGTTTCATCATAAATTGTTTGCTCGGATGGAAATTCAAAAAATTTTAGAGCAAAAAAAAATTTTTTCACTATTCTCTAACTTTTAATTATATTGTTTCGGAGACCAACTCCTTTTGGAATAAAATATTAATAATAATAAAACAAGTAAAATATGTATAGTGTACGACAAAATTCGAACCGTAAAGATGAAACTCAAATTAACCAGTAAAACGAAAAGTAAAGCATGACATTTAATAATTTCAAGCGGATAGCATACTTTACAAAATTCTCAAGCAATGTGTCTATCAACAATATGCAAAGATTACAATATCCTCCAATCGGAAGAACCGGATTTCGAAGCTGGAATTTAAAAAAATTTCTCCTGGACTCCGCAAATTCTCACCTTTCGCCGCTAAATTTCACTGATAAATGAAGTGCGAGTGCATGTGTTTTTCCAGTGCGATAGCAACTTCCACGCTATTCTATCAATCTGCTATGGAGGCTATGTGGCGTCATACTGACTTATGCTGGTGCGCACTGCACACAACTGTACTCGTAAATCTGATTGGACTGCAATTATGCAGGAAGGAAATCCACATAAAGGAAGAAAGAACCGATTCGAAATTACTAACTTATTCTACATGCAAGTAAATATGCAGTATATATATTAATATAATCAATTAAATTCGTTTGCTATAATTAGTGAAGCAGGGTCAAAGTATGGTATAGAGAATTGAAAATTTATCTTACTATAGAATCACTGCTGCCTATCATTCATGCATGAAGTTCTAAATTTGAGTTAACACGACGTATGCTCTAATGAGAGTAAAAAATTATTAAACCATTATTTATGTTTTAATCACATTCACTTTAAACCGATATGAGCATTGGCTAAAGAATCGCATTTGAAAACCACCGTCAGATTCAGTTACTTTACAGCTGAGGACTATTGTTTCTAGCTCCCAATGGTATATTGTTTCTAGTTACAATCAAACCATTGTTATTTTCTAGCTCCCTAGTGAATTTATTAAAGTTTTTAATATTTTGATAATAGAAGAAGTTGTTAACATGTCAGTTAGGCTAACTCACTACTTTACTATAGACAATACGTACACGTTGACCGGATCTACCAATGTCTCGTTAAGAAACTATAGATGATTGCCCCAACTCTTTGTTCAAAGATACAAATAACCGTGTTCATAGTATATGAAGCGCTTCATTTTGAAACACTCTTTTTGAATTATTTGTATGAACTCTTTTGTAATCTTTGCTGAGAAATTTTACCTAAAAATTGCTTGATTTTTCAAACTTTTACATTTTCAAACATCCCTCTCATGCTGGCGGTGTCTTCAATTAACTTAACTTTAAACACAAAAAAAAATTCATTGTGAAGGTAAAAGCCAAACATAGCTTGTCGTTTCTGGAATGCGTAATAAATTATTCGAACGGTCAATTTCAGAATACTCTATTGCGAAAGGCGGCCTTTAGCATGTGGAGCATGCGCTTACCTTGATATGCCTTCGGCCATTAAGGTTTTATGTAATTGTTATCGACATACAGTAGGTATCTAGTGTATATTATGTTAACCCGATATAAGAGGTTGATGTCTAAACGGCTGTCTCGTGTTGCTCGTCAGGTTGAATGAAAGTGTTTATTGCACTCACATGATTTGTTTGAGCGCAATTTGAAGCTTACTCAATAATGCTGTGTTGATTTGGTTGTTATAATTATTAATGCAAGTTTAATTTGAGTTTGATTTAGTGACGGAGCTTATATTTGAAGCGTTCATTTCTAAGCTTTATATTTCCAATTAAATTCTTAGTTATCCAGTTCTCACCTTAAAGTGCTTGTGCAAGTCGAAGGAGTTTACCGTTATTTTCGAGGCTTTCACGGTTCAATTTCTCCAAACCTGACATTTTTGAACGCAGTAATGAAGTTGTTTACAATATTCTAATTTAGGTTGCATTCGCCTTTTCCGGCATATACCAAGAAGATATCCAGAAACTGGAGTAGCCCATCCATTTTGTGGTAAGGATGGTGCATAAATCTGTCCCAGACAACACCGGACAGATCAACGGATCGTTCCCCACATTTTCCGCAGTTTATTGGAACAAATCTCTTCTTCCCGGAGAATAGCTTTGTAGCTGGACTCGTATAGTCACTTTCCTGAGCGAATTTCAATGTTTTAATTAATCTTTAACTTCAATTTAAAATTTTGGGAAGCGACTTTGATATATTTTGCTGGATGATTCCACATAATTAGAAAAAAAGGTAAATTCAATGGCTCTGTTCTTTTCCTAATCGATGTTTAGAATTTTTCATAAGATGAGTTGAGTTCCTCCAGTTGGATTCATTAGGATTTTCTCTACATGTCCAAACAGACGGCTGTCTTGTTCAAATTATTTTCAGACTTTGTATTATTATAATAACTTTTTTGCCTCAATTTCTACAGCCATCGGCACAGGAAAAGAAGGACAGCCTCTGAGTCCCGTGATCGGATCCATCGTGGGCGCGTCCGTCTCCCTCCTGCTGCTCGTGCTCGCTGGGGTGGCGGTCGCTCGCTGTAAACGTCACGATGACCACGAGAACAGGAGGTGCGGAATACAGCGAACTGTGATGATCAGGATAGTGTTTTGGTCTGCGAAAGGGAAATGGGCATTCAATGTGTTGGATACAATTTATTAAATACAAATTTTTGCCACACAACAAACAAGAAATCATGAGACTGTTACCTAAATGTTATTGTTGGTTCTCAGACAAGACAGGTTAAAAACATGAGAAACCTCAGGAATATTATTTTACATGTAGCCATATTAATCCAGGTTGGTTAGCTATAATGTGCACTGTTGTTCGTCTAGTGGGTTATACAAGGATATTTTCCCCAAAGTTTTGCGTACAGAAATAGTGGCATAGTCATGTGATATGAACCTGAATAGTTATCGTATTACAATTGTGGAACCTATTTGGATTCAGCCCTTGGTGGCAGGCAGTAGAACAACAAGCCCCACGCGCGGTCGCCGGATTTAGGAGATTGAATGAGTCCTGCAGCTGAACATGCATGCCTATGCATTATTTGCCGCATTGGAGGCTGTGACTGCAACATACGCCAAAACTGTACTGCGTGCCGGTTCCAGTACAGCCCTAAGGACACCTCGTGATTCAGGCATAAGCATTCAGTCAGAACTCCTATTTTTTGCATTATTGCGTCATGCAAGAAATTTTAATTCAGCTTCCGGTTGGTGTAAAGAAATAAAATAAATTTTGCAAGTAGAAAATCCAATTATCGTTGTTAGGGTTTTTTATCATTCATTAAATTTAAATATATAAACTTTTTGCCTACAATTTTTTGAATTTTTACCGTACGTTGTTCTAACTTAATATTGTGCTTAATTTTCTTGAAATAATATTAATATTTTGCTTCAAAAATGTACTTATTTGCTACCAGAAAGTTTTCGTGAACGAGTTCTGTAGAACTTCGAGCTACACAAGTAAACAATTTCAAAGTTGTCATGTACAAAGAGTCAGTTCGTGTAAAACCTTTATAACCTTGTAGGTATGAAGCAAACAAACTAAAGACTAGGGGGTGTTGACAGTGAATGACTTGCCCGATAAAAAAAAATGTTCTCTCGAAGACTAAAGAATACAATAACTTAGTTTTTATGGCGGCATCTTGTATCGTGCATTTATTCCAGTCGTGCAAGGAGTTTTAGATCTAAGGTTAGAATATTCAATGTTATGGACGACGTGTAAAGTCTCCTCCTCTTTTAATGCTCTCTCTTTCTTTTTGAAGGCTCACTTCCTCCTTCAACCAAGTTTTGTGTGAGCCTTATGGCCCTGAAATGCTATACGATAAATGCGTAACTGTGTATCTTCTGGATAAAATTTCCCGACTGAAGCCCTGACTACGAGCTTTTCCAAAACTCGCGAGTCGCACCAGCGCCGATAAAAGAATCGGGTACTAAAACAAGCGCAGCATCAGACTTTTCTCTTTGAGTTGAAGTGATGCGTGAAGAACTTATACGACCATCGTCTCGTTCGGTCAGCTTTGAAAGCTTTTTTGTCAGACGCCAATTACTTTTATATTCATCGTGAGCCTGTGACCAATAAATCAATTTAGCAGAAAAATAACCTTTTATTATTTATGATAAATCAGATTTTTATGCGAGCGCGATCGAAGAAATGAAAATTGAGAGGTAGTGATCTTTTGTCTAGCGATTATATCCCTGAATTTGAGCGGACTTTTGATTACGAATGAGAGTAGTGATAGGATGTAATGATGAGTAAGTTAATCGTTTTTTTTGCCACTATAAGTGAGGTGAAAGATCATCGACAGTCATTCAGTCCAAGTTACTAACTTCTTTAATCTGTTGATCAAACAAAATGTTTGAGGTATAAAATAAGGCAATGAAAAAATCTTCTGCCTATTGAAATTCTCGTTTAGTTTGCACAAATTTTTTTTTGTTCAATTAAACGGTAGTAATATTTGAATATGTGTTCAACCAATATTGTAGTTTTAAATGAATTTTACAGAATTTTCTAATTAAACATTCATTTAATTGACTTTGATCAAATTCTTTTGAGCTTCGAAGCCAATAAACAGTTATTTCACAGAATTTTCTAATTAAACATTCTTTTAATTGACACGAATGAAATTCTTTTGAGCTTCGATGCCTATAAACAGTTATTTAAAATCCAACAAATCGCCGTCGCCTCTGTCCGGCATTTAACACCTTTTTCTAATTAAACATTCTTTTAATTGACACGAATGAAATTCTTTTGAGCTTCGATGCCTTTAAACAGTTATTTAAAATCCAACAAATCGCCGTCGCCTCTGTCCGGCATTTAACACCTAAACTCCTCGGCTTCTTTGAGGTTTCGGGTTTATTTTCTCATTGCAGCCAGGACATTCCCTGAGTGCAATTGTGCAATTCTGCCGAGTCGAGCCTTGTTTTTCATTCTGACCACAGCAGCTTCAGAGAAACTGGACAGGACGAACCTGGCTATAAGTCTTTCCGAGCGAGCGAGGGAGACGTGGCTCAGCAGAGAGACGCTTCATCGTCACCGAGACCGACCACCACGTTAAGTGACGACGAACATGACGCTCAGGTCACGACTGCGTGTGATCTCGTCTCGGCATCGCAAGGTTTGTCGCAAAAAAGTCAGAGATTTACAGGAAAACAAATGAGTATTGTTTTGAATAAATAAATGAAAATTCTGTTTTTTGAAGTTAAAATGTTGTAGTGATGAACTTCTACTGAAACCCTCGTAAATGTGTCGAGAATTTGCTTGGTACTAATTTTTATAAAATTTATTTTCATCTTTTAAACGAGTTGGAAGCTTCAACCGAGGAATAAATTTTTAACCATTACTTTGTATAAGTAAAAATGTTAGGAGCTTCAAGATCCGAAGCTGTAATGACTTTGTCCAACATCGAATAAGCAGCCGAGCTCTGCCGCTCTTTGTTATGAACTTGCCATTTTTTCTAAAGTGCGCTTATAAATGCATGAAATTTGAGAATTATGCGATTGAAATGATGCGCGCATATGATGTCTAAATTTACGCCAGGATCGTACGCGAAGCCACGCGTTTATTGAATGGCTGCGACATATGCAAGGTTTCTTAAATTATCCAACATAGCCGGGTTTTTAATAAAAATAAAACAGGGTTTTAATAGAAAAAGGACACAATATGTAAAATGAGCTTGGTTCATTTATTTCAATTATATTTATCTTTGCAGTCTTTTTCATTTATCTTGCTATAATGAAAATGTGATGCTGGTGAGTATTAACCTCTTTAATTACAGTTGCCATCACTTTTAATCTAATATTTGCAATTTTTAAAGCAGTGAGTCAGTTATGCATCGTTAATTGGAGGAATGACAATCCAAAACAGTGACACAAGATAACAAATGATTACAATAAATAAGTTTTTAATCAATTAACGCCGTTCGTTGGCATTTTCTTGTTTCAAAACTCATATAGTGCAAGCCTATAAAAAACAATTTTAAGTATTTTCCTCGTAACTTTTGAGAATTGGACTTAGCCTTTCGAAATTTGTGCCAAACTTTAAAGTTTGTGCCAAACCAAACCTTGAACGATGTCCATGCTCAAAAATTGACAGGATTGTAGTGCTACTTGTTTTTACCTAGGAGGCAAAATTATACAAAAATCGCATGTATTTGAAAAATTAGTCTGCTGAAAAGAAATCGCATGCAAAAACTTCTCTGATTGTACCATGTCTTTGAAAATAATACTTACCGAGAGAGTTGGATCTTCTTTTTCCATCAAATGTCATTTATTGTATTTTAAGATTTGAGTCTATTTAAGGAGCCAAAATATAAACTGGTTACCTAACAAAGCAGGCAAAAGTCTATGGACTGGACTTCGGAGTACTTTATCACAAAAAATAATTCAAACATAAATTTATAACAAGTATTGTGTATGTAAATATCATGGAGAAATAATAGTTTCTTTATGACGAATGTGGTCATAAATTTAATTTTTCATTTTATTCTGTTTCACATTGATATTCTCCAGCATATTAATTAAATTAACATACACCTTGAAATTGATGTTGAACCGACAGTTGAGATAGCGCCAACATAAAATAGTTACAAAAAATCTCTGTGAAGTTTATTTCTCTAGCAATGACGTGACAAATATTGCGCCTATGAATTTGGACAAAATTGCTAAAATCTCAAACTAGTCTTTGATACGAATGAGATATTTGGCGGTTATTTTTATTATTTCTTGTCATTGTGATCCTATCTTAGCAAGTTAGAGGACCTGTTAATATTTTTTTAACTTTATTATGGGTGGGGTTTTCAGAACACAAATCGATATGGATTTTTTAGAGGGTGGCACTATATGTATGTGGGATTACTATACGTCTGTGGGAAGGCTTAAGGGGACCGACCTAGCTAAAATTTTCAATTTTGACGTTTTTCGGTTTTTGTGCTCATCTGAAAGCTGGAATTCTGCTCTTTCCAATGGTACCACTGCCATCGCTGTACGCCAATATTTACGTTAATGACGTCTCTTTAAAGGGAAGCGGATTTTTTTTTTACATTTTACGTATGTATGTGAAGTTTCATGACAATCGGATAATAACTGTAGAAGTTTTCCGTATGCTAGGTCGGTCCCCTTAATTGATGTTTCCTTGGTAGTATCCATTTAGTAGTAAAATAGTCTGAAATTTCAAAACCATGAAATTAATTTGATGCATTCGTAAGTTTTCTTAAACTTTACCTATTAATGCACGGTTTTTTTTTTCAAAAACCTTAGTTTTTGCAACCTTGGTTTAAAAGGGCATTCTTAGATGCCCAATCGCCACAGGTCGAACTATGGGACACGCTATGAAATATTAATCGAATTTTGAAAGCTGAAGCTAACGTTTCGAACCATCTAAATTGTATGCAACAATAATGTTACATGAAAGCATCCTTGATGCCTATAACCAATGTACGTATCAAATTTGCCAGCAGCCCTGAAAATTTTTCGAGCATGAAGAAAATTTACGAAGTTACGCACAATCACTTTAAAGTTATGTTCCAACTCATGAATGTTTCGCCCCCAACGTAATAATCTCTTCAGCTTTAAACCAACTTGTAACTCCTTCTGAGAAATAATGATGAATGTAATGCTTTTTTGTAACACGGAATACTTTTTGAATAATTGATTCACTTCGAATTACTCCGACTTGATGCTCTGAGCTACGACAGATTCATTCAAAACCACCTCATAGTACTTTTTTTCTACAATATTCAGCTGTATTAATTCACGATGTTTGGTAGACCCTGTAAAACGAGATTATACAGCAAGCGTTGTACATATTTCGTCTAAGAATGCATAAGGGGACATAAGTATTGTTCAGCCCAGTCGTTCTATTTTAGAACCCATTCGTTACAGCTGTGAATGAATTGAATGGACTCGATCTCATTCTCTAGGGTGCGATTCCATCGCCAACGAAGACCGCATAAAATGAAAAGCGATGCGAGACTCTTTTATGCTTCGTTTAATTATGTCGCATGATCTTCCACTGAGGCGAAAAAATTGTAAAGGTTTCTTCTGCTCTGAAACTGTCAAACCAAGAATGGAAATAGCTTGAAAAAAAAAACAGAAGTTTGGTTGATAAATTTTGACGCGACATTTTTCAGAGCCAAAATAATTTGGAAAATGTATGCGATTGTGTATCATTTGAAGTAATGTGGATCATACATTTAAAAATCATATAAAATTAATTCACGACTATTAAACATTAGAAACGTTTGTATAACATGAACCCTTCAAAACAGATGTGTAGGTATGAATCATTTTATTTAATGATTTGGAGCCAATCTCGCATAGCGAGAGTGTCTCTTATACATTGCCTTAGCTTTCATTGTTTTAATAAATACATTAGCGAATATTTAATTTAATAAGCTCGATCACAGACTTTGCATTATGGCCCTTCGTACACCTAAGAAAAGAATAAGCGAGTATAATGTCAGAAGTTTTATTAGTTGCACAAGGCGACAATTGTTGCTTCATATTATCCACTTGATTCACTTAATTAAGCTGGAATAAAGAAAAACAAGAGTTTCTTCTCACCCTAATTGCAACCCCGTCAATCAAAACACAACATCATCTTCTAAAATGCATTCGGCAATCGTCAACATAAATTCCCAGCAATCCTTCACACGACATTAATTTTTAGATGACCAATATTACCAACAAATATTTGAATCGTTGATATAGTAATTTTTAGACTTTAGCACGCAATTTTATCAATATCTGGAAACTTTAAAACTTATGGAAGCAATCGTTACAATCAAATCTTTGTTTCCGTTTCTAGACTCAATACTGATGAGCCGGTCCCAGGACTCGAACACTCCACTGCTCACTACAGGCAGGTCCTCCGAGCCAACGACGTCTATCAGAGCAGACGCTCCCTTCACCCGTCAAGGATCCCTCACTAGAACTTCGTACGCAGGCGCTGCGCTTGTGTCTCAAGCCTCCAAAACTCGAGCAGCGAATTTATCTCCGGGACGCAGTGCGCAAATGGGGGGATTTTCTCCCTCCTATGCCTACCATCAGCAGTTTAGCGATGCCGAGGTAAGATTACGACGATACCCTAAATTTGAAGTGCATCACTAGCATCATGTATGTTGAAGTTTATATAGAAAGATGTGTATCTGGAGCCTCAAAATTAGTCCGTGCGACAACGCAACCTTGATAAAAAAATTTGCATTATGATATTGTATGATTATTTTAGTTACAAGATTACAGTTTATCATTTTAAATAGTTAGATGACTAATTTGCATAAAGATTTAATTAATAGTTGCCATAAAGGCAATTAAGTTTTCATTAATTGTATGCATAACCAAAACAACACACTAAATTATATAACACGCTAAATTATATTTATAAGGAAAATAACATCAGACTTCAACGCTGTTTATATGAACGCACGAAGTGAAATATTATCAATAACCTCTTCAATAATCCAGTAAGCTCTATCTGTTTTTGACTCGGGCTTTTCAATTTTTTTCTGATATGAGTGCAGTCGTTAAACTCGATTGATATTTCCATTATTGAATTGAGCGATTGCCAGTTTAAAAGTTGTTTTTTTTTCTACTGTTCTTCATGTGCAAGAAAAAAAAATCATCAAATGAAGACTTGGACCTGCTAATTGAATCGATGCTCTCATGGACCTCTTACAGGCCGGGTCCAAGTGGCCTCCAGAAACTTGGATGGGCGACTCCCCTTTCCTCTTCTCGAGCTCCACCAAAGGGATGAGGGCTCTTGATCCCGAGACTCCCACTGGTGGGCCTCGGGCCCCAATATCCTCTCATGCTTTGGCCTCCCCACTGTCGTCACCAGGATCTGTAGACCTAAGACGACACTCAGCCTATATGAGGCCCTTCGATCAAGTACAGACTCTAGAAGAAGAGAAAGATCGGCTTATTAGGCTGCCTTGCGTTGCAGAGGACAGAAACAGCGATGAATTTTCACAGCATTCTTTGTTGCGCCAAAATTCGTCCCGGAAAGGGTCCCCAAGATCCGCGGGGACAGCCTCATCACCCTTTGGGTTTTCATCTTCTACGCTGAACCCACGTCAGTTTGCATCACAATCTTTATCGAAGGGAATAGCCACCCCTTTCGTCGCTGGCGTTACGAAACCTTCATCCCATATTACCCACAAATCTTCTGATCATGAGAGCTCTGTATAGGGATTCGCCCCGCAACAGAGATATTAAGTATTATTTCATAAACTTGTTGAATTATATCAGTCGGTTGACCTAATCAACTCAAAAGGTGGTTCCGAACTCTGTAATGTAAAACTTGTTTAAATATCATCCATTTTCAGGATGAATGGATAAAATAAATTTATGTATGGAGGTCCATTGAGGTATTTGTGCGCAAGTGTACGCCATTTTTCAGGTCATTGAATGATAAATATAATGAAGACATGATGCGAAAAAAACAACTGTTCTCCGTTTGTATCTTATTTTTAATCATGCATTTATATATTCAACATAATATTTTAATTCTGGTAATTTTTTACATTCAGCTGAACGACATGAGTTACAATGGATCCTGTATACGACTTCAATTTCTCATGTCATAAAAGCCCAGATAAAGGCTGAAATACTTTTTTTTCTTGCTCACAATTAAAGGTACAAATGACCCATATATTTTCCTTTTAAACAGCTTGTTAATAACCTCACTTAGGAGATTCCCAGAAAATTAAAGGACGGGTGCCCAGATTTTTTTTCTCAATCGAGGCATTAGTTTTTCTTAATGCATCGAGGTCTTCGTTTTTTAGAGGTAATATGAGACGGAGATAATTTTGCTCGTGTGTTTTTTGAGAGCTTCTTTTTTGCTCTGAGCGTTTGAAGAGACAAAATTGAACGACAAGACTTGGCTATTAATTCCACGCGGCCGAAGTCGTTTCTCCTGAAGTGACGCGAAAGAAAAAATTCCGCGCCCATTTTTTTCCTGCTGAACTTTAAACTGAAGAAAAGACACTAAGTTGCTAGAGCTTTCCAACGATTCGACGGCTTCTTACAACATCACTTTTCTCGAACGTCAATCTTCCATTGTTAAAGTATTTGTGTCCTAGAAATTAAGAGGCCTTTGAAAAAAAGAAATATTGAGATAAAATTGACAGTTAGAGAGCCTGATTAAATTTCTCTAGTTTCATATTTAAATTAGTGAGTTATTCAAATTCAAGGTTCACTTGCATGTCGATAGTATAGTTGAAGAAATATTTAAAAGTGTAAATCGAAGTGTGAATTTCTTCTATTTATTCGTAGTGGGACTCGGGAATAAAGCTCCGCTTTGAATTTTGTGCACAACAAGACAGAACTCAAATATATAATTAATCAATTCGGTAATTAGACTTCTTTAGTGATTTCTCCTAATTGCACAGGAGTCATAATCACAATTTCGTATGATGGAGTTCGATTTATTTACTTTTAGTTCAACCAGTTCGAGAGGTCTATTCAATTCTCTGGGAATTATTTGACATAAATTAACCAAGTAAATCGTAAATTAGCTGTTTAATTCTATTTGGTTGCATCCCCCCATTATTTGTATAAGCAAATATTGCAGGCGCACTCGTGAATGCCCTTCCAGTCTTAATTAACAGTGCAATTAGCGACGGGGCAGGCACCGGCTGTTATTGAACATCACGTGTAATAATAGCACGCGATGATGTCAGAAGTGAAACTTCGTATAAAATAACACAACTCAATCATATTGACATGGGCGTTGTCTAGGAAACACCTGAAATTGTCATCGAATTTTTCAAACACTAGAAGAGATAATAATTAATGTAGAAACCGGAGTGCATGGAGATTTTTTCTGATGTTGTGGACTATACAGGAGTTCGGTTGGAAATGCGGCACAGTTTATATAGACATTCCTCGCAAACAATGTGAAGGGAATGGGAGGACGGAAGTGTATTTTATGCTGAATTCATGAAATGATTTGCTAAACATGGATTGATTAGTAATTTATATGAAATTTTGTTTATGTATAATACTACAATGAAAACTTTAAATCGTATTTCGAGCTGTTCTGAAACTGAATATGTTATTATAAGATTTCTTAAATTATTGTTTTATTGCTACCATTTCTACATCAAATGAAGCCATCGAATAACAATAATCGCATTACAGAAAAACAGTTACTACAAATAAATTCAAATTGTAAGTTAAATGAGTTTTTAAATTGCCTCTTAACAAACTGCACTCTAATTAGTAGAGTAATGTTATTATAATTGATAATTGGTATCGAAATTTTAAACACACCTCTTTTTATTTGAAAACCAGTGATAAATAATGAAATTTAAGGCAACTAATATTAATGCCCAGGATTGCTCTTATATTTTATCACAATTGAGAATACAATACCAAAGAAGGATTCGAAAACATGAGCATAGGAGCGTCTCAGTATGCATAGTAAAACGCTATTAGTCGAATGAAAGATATTCATCCTGTTGGATTTCATGTGAACATTCAGATGGTTTTTCAAGATCATCCCTTATTACCCTAACAAATTTGTCCGTACACAAATTCTTTTTGAAATGGTCAAACATTTTACATTTCACTCTTCCCGCATCGGGCAATGTATAACATTTTTATGTTATTCTAACCCAGTTGAGTTTGCAATAACTCACCTGCAAATATTTCTTCGTAAAAATTGGCCAGCCAGTCTGGATATCCTTGAGATCGGAGAGGACATCTTTTGGTCGGTTGGAAGTCGGACTGCGACACCTCATCTCCATATCGCACGCCACAAATATCCCTATCGTAATCTGTATTCCAAGAGTCTGTATCCTGCTTATCCTGCCTCGACCCGATACACAGGCGAGTTTCGTCCAAAAATTCCTAAGAAGAAGTCTTCCACTAAAAATAAAGGAGCACGGAGTGCCACGCATTATTTTCGGTAGGCGGCGACAAAATGTTGTTCCCGTAAGGGCCATTGCGTCTTGTGTACGACGTCTAAATACAGATTCGGGATAAGGTTTTTCGGTTCTGAAATGAGCGCTCGGGAAGTCGAGATTTTCTCATGTGATTTGGATGCAACTGAAAGGGAGTCGGATAATGCCGAATAATGTGAGGCGGACTCAGAGATTTTGAAATAATACTAAAAACGTGGAATCGCATCACATGACTTAGGTGATCATCTTGACAAGATTTCATGTCTAAATTTATTTTAGGAGATAACGATCGAAGCATTGTTGTTAATAATTATTGTAAGGTTTAGCTCATGGAAAATGGTGATGAAATCATGTGGCAATCTCACTTAAGTAATGACTTAATTGGAATACGAGAATGGAATGTACTAAGAACACTTGGAATGGAATGTGTGGCACAAGTTCTGTGGATAGCAATTCTCTTGATAGAGCAGAAAGGAAGCTAAATTTTGGCGAAATTACCAGATTGTAATGTCGGTAGCAATAATACCGTAGTCGATGACTATTTCGAAATAAATTTGATCATCCGTTGTTGTTGCTGTTCGGAACATGATCAATATTCTGATACCGCAGCGAGATATGTATGACTAAAAAAACTTTAACTTCTACAGATAAAAATACATTTAAACCAACGTCAAGATTCTAAATAAAGGCACTAATCTATTCAGCAAACTGCACTAACATTTTTTTGCAAATGGTCACTTAAATAGGGGCAAATAACAGTGTAATTTAAAAAATTTTCATCAAGAAAAAATAGAAATTTGCTTCAGTTTGCGCCATGATGCTTAATTTGAATTTTACAGTACAGTTCAGTAAAATGTGCTACAAACTCATACCTGTGATGTTCATGATTTTATATATACATGATCCCAAACAAATACAAAGGATGATTGCAATTAGTCTCGTGCAAACTAGTTTATAGAAGTTCGGAAAACCAGTTATTTCCAATTTAAAAAAACAGACACTTTAGCTGTCAAGTATTCTGCTTCTTTAAATACTAAAATCGTCCTCCTAATAGCAATGTAGCCCCTCCTCTGTAGGAGTCCCCCATACACATAGCCTGACAAACATAGGCCAAAAGCGCTTACTGCGTTTGGCGATGCTCAAGCTTTGTCGACTTAAGAGTTTTGCCGTCATCTCGCAGGGTGCAGGTGTCTGCTCGCGTGGCAATCCAGTTAGTAGAAGTAAAACTCTCGGGCGCAGCCTTACAATCAGCAAACTTTTTCAGCAACCTATTTTTCCGCACACACAGGCCTTGCGTTGGTTGATTCTGAATGCTTTCTTTCATTTAAAAAGGAACTTAATCAACACTAAACTTCAAAACGATGTGAAAGGGCGGTTTAATTTAACACATCAACATTTGATTGTATCAAATCTGAATTTTCAAATTTTTTTGGTGCTTGGAGATCTGTGTAAAGCGGATGAAGTGATGCAATCAGATGAATATGTGCGAAAGTTGGCGTTTGGACACCCATGAAAAGCTGATACTGTACATCACACGTGTTTTAAGTTTGACGTTTAGACTTAATCTTGTGTGAAGCAGCAGATTCACATAAAAATTATACACATCTGCGTGAAGCTCAGAGTTTGTACATCACTATCAAGATATTCGTATGTTTTGGCAAAATTTGTTCCTTTAAGCAGGTTTTATTGAAAACCAGAGAATTCGCTTTATTGACAATTTTCTTATTAGTTTTTTCAATACATCGATGAACATTTTTCGTTTGCACTGGTAAATCTAAAATCAGAGAAGCGATGGACATTTTTGTTTCTATAACGACGTTTCGAATGTTTCTATCATTCATATAACTATGATACAATATTACCATAAAAATGTTCTTCTTTTAAATAAAACAAGTTTCAACTTCATAACGTTCTTAGTTTTTTTATTTATTAACAAATTGAAAGGGTTACTTAATTCTGAAACACCCTGTACATAGGATACTACTCACAAATCGAAATTGTTAGAAATAATTACAAAATCACAAAAATAGTCAAGAATTAAAACACCGAAAATTACTCCGAAAACAGTCTCAAAGTTCTGACAAATCCAGTAGTTTGAAGGTTGATGGCTGGGGTCCTATCCTTAATGGTGAGGGCCTCCTGCAGCTATCGCGAGTCGGTTGGCGTCTATCAAGTACATCTCTGTCAAGATATGTACCCCACAAATGTACTTCTGTGTGAATTTTGTCGTTCGTTTTCACCGGAAAGCTGAATGAGAGATGTTCCAAGACTCAGACCCATATAGCGGGGACTTCTCATGCACCGAGTTTGTTATGGCGATTGCGTCCTTATAATTTTCAATGAAATAATCGAAGCGATGAATTCGTAGTTGAATGACAGGAAAAATATAGAAAAAAATTGATTTTTGCAAAAATTGGTGATGACGTAAATTTTCAAAACTGTGAAATAACCTTTTATCATTAGGCTGTTTATCACAAGTTCACCAATAATAAAAAAGTGGTGAAGATGCCAAGCAAATTCATTATATCTATAATGACAGTCATGAAGGCCAGCTCCACCATCAGCTAATGCATCTAAGGGATAGTGTAATCATCAGAGAAAAACCAAATATACACGTAAAAGGGATGTAGAGATAAACTCTATATGTAACAAAAATCTGGCAAATTAACATAAAAACCGCTGGAAAGTAATATATTATTAATGAAGCTTACAATCCTAATTCACTTGAAATCGTAAATTAATCGATCGGTTTTAATGCTCCGTTGTTAATTTTTCGTTTTTCAGGAGTTAATTTAGTTCGTAGATTGTTTTATTTTTTCTGAATTTCTCTGAATTTTTAAACTGATGGAGGGGCTGGTCTCCTAATAGATTCCATTGAATATACCGTGAATTGATTCTCTCATTTTGCTTTAAAATATATATTATAGATAGAAATCAAAACTAGTGAGAATGATGCAATGAGAATTTAAATTATTGACCAGCAACTAAATTGGTGCGAAAAATACAAGAGTATTTTATGAAATTTGAGCCTAACAATTAATTTACTATTTAGATCGCGATAAATATGTTAGTCAATCATTAGATCGATACATCACAGATTCGGGAAGCAGCGCTGCATATCGCATCCTTTTTAAGACCTAAATCATCAGTTAGGAGACCGAGGAAATATCTATAATCAAAGAGGAAAGACATGAAATATAATTTTGTTTAAATTTTCTGAGTGCAAAGGAATACCATGAAATGATGTAGAAAGGAACAAAATATACAGAATTCGAAATAATCGATAAACTTTTGAACCCCCCAAAAACTATATAAGAACAGCTGGGTGGCAGAATGACAGCTTCTGAAATTTTCGCGTTGATTTCAAGCAGGTGAGAATTCCTTTATATTTGCAAGGCAAAGGAGAAATTTGCCTTTGATCTCACAATAGCGGCGAGGAAGCATCGCAGCGAGAGGAGCGACCTAACCCAACCATTTGTTCCTTTCAGAAACAAGCTTTATCGCGGCCAATAAATTCTCTCTTATGCCAACAAAGAAATTTCGACTATGATAAATTGAATATCACCTCACGTTAGCCTTCTGCTTCAGCGAGGCAGAAGAACACATTGCAGTTGTGTGAAGCACTGAATTTTTCGAATTAAATCTTAAAAGGTTTCGTATAATTTCTTTCATGTTCGGCCCCGTATTGGTAATGAGTAGATAACTTTCAGAGCTAGATTAATTTATATCTCGCGATTACTGTGCTCAATCTAACCATCCACATTAACTCTCCTTTGGCGATCGCCAGCATGCATTATCAATGAATTTAATAATTTTATTTTGTAACGAACCAATTCTAATCTGTTCTAGCAACTAAATTTAAGAAATACAAGTAGTCCTGTGCAAAAGATTTAATTCTCAGTAAATAATCTAAAATTTGATGCGAAATTAACGGTCTTCATTTCAGTTGGCCTAGAGCAAAGACAGCGCCTTTCGAATCTAGCGCGTGGTTTCAGGAGATTAGACGATTTCTAATCACGCGGAAAACTTAAGACGGCTCACGGTTTCGAAAGAAAGATCATCCGATGCCGTCCAATGACGAGGCGAGCGAGGCTTGAGGCTAGGCACTCGATATATCGCCTTTGCAAACTCACAGAAAGAAGCTGATGGTGTGAACTTGCTGAAGCTTGCTCGTGCTACAGCTACATAGTATCCCGTTTCTTGGCA